TATATTTGAATTTTGTTGATTGTTTTGATATTCTAAATTACAAACTGATTTTTTTTTCCGATTTTCATATTTAGGCCAAAATGAAAGCGATTTTAAAAACCATCGATTTGAAACGGAATTTAGACTATGATGAAACTTTTAATAGCAAAAAAAATATTGAAAAGTGACTGAGTCTAATCCTGGAATTACGAAAGGTCTTGGCTCTGAATTTTTGACCTTCTATTGACCAATTGACAACCTGGCTTCGAAGCCTCAATAAATCTCGATGATCAACTCAACTATACAAGTGAAGCGGAAAGGCTGTCATAGAATAATGACTATTACATACAAATAGTCGAGTACACGAAGTTAGTAAATTCTGATTTTAATCTAAATTTTGATCTATTAAGTTTATTTAATTTTTAATTTATTATTTCTAAAAAAATTATGACGAATAAAGACCGCTAAATGATTATTTGCGAACAACGACATATGAATTACGAAATACGAAAAGCGATCTTTATTGAAAATACTAGCTGATCACCTATACCATTTTCCTGAAATAAGCGAGACAGACGAAGACGACCCAGAATAAAAGTCTATCATTGCTATATACAATCTCTCGTGGTGATCAGTAAGGTTTACTATTTTTATAAAAAAATCTCATTTATAAACTTTAGTAAATTAATAAACATTTTTTATTATTTCAGCTAAAAATCTCTTTCATAGTGTATTCGATCAAAATGCTGCAACCTTGGTTACTTCGGCAAGAGTACAACAAAATTGAATATATGATAACCAGGTGCAGCATTTCGACTAGCTGCATCCTTCAAATGCCCCGAATAGTCTTGAATAAAACAAACGAACATATGTTTCGACACTGATATCGAAAAATCAGATAAAGAAGAATATGTTACAGATAATGAAGAACTTGTCGAAGTTGAAAGGAGGCAAACATACACAGCTGGTAGCGATAAACAATATGATTCTGACTATCTTGAGATGGATAATTAACAGCGACAACCATCTCAAGATGGTAGATTCGATAACGACGCAATGATTTTTAATTTTTTTTTTCTTTTGCTTATTTTTTTTTATTTTATAAATGTGGAGTGGTGAGTGGGATATTTTAAGTTTTTTTTTTGCTTTTTTTTCGCATTTTGTTTTATTTTTTTTTATAAATGAAAGGACGAGTAGGATATTTTAAGTTTTTTTTTGCTTTTTTTTTGCATTTTGTTTTATTTTTTTTATAAATGGGAGGGCGGGTGAGACAATTTATTTTATTTTTTGCTTATTTGCTAGTTTTTTAGTTTTAAATCAAAGGCGATTGAATAATGACAATGATGACGACAATTTATCAATTATGATGATGATTTCTTCTTTTCTTTTTTTAGTAATTTGCTTATTTTTAGTAGTATTTTCTATTTGCTTGTTGCATAATGAATAAAATTAATAAAATTAATAAAAAAATATTATTTTCTGAAATTGTAAAATGAAATAAATGTAATAAATTTTCAGCTAAAAATCGGACAGACAATTGATGGATAATTAATGGCTTGTTTTAAGCAGATTTTAGATGAACGATTAATGATGATTGATGACTGATTGATATTTCTGATTGACTCATATTGTATCAATCAGAATTAATGTAAATCAGCCCTAAATCAGCTATCAATCATCCATCAATTGTCTATCTAATTTTTAGCCGATTTGTACACATTTTGACCAGTATCAATTCCTCTTTCTTGATTAATTATATCTTCCACTTTATTAAAATCAAAAATTAAACCATCTTCTGTTCCATCAGTTGCATTAGAAATACCATAACATTTAAATGAATAATTGATCATATTAGGATCAATAGCATCCTAACTTTCCTTTACTTAGTTAACAACAAGTGAATAAGATGGCCTTTTGATTTTTTCAGATGGTGTATATTCTTTAATAGCTTCATTCATCCAATCATTATAATGTTGCTGTATCTATTTTATTAAAAACACTAATATTAATTTTAAATAAACAAAAAGATAAATTTATAATAAAATAAAATAAAATAAAATATTTTAGCCTTAAAGAATTTATTTAATAATATATCAAGTGTCTGTAAATGAGAATCAGAATAATAGTTAAATTAGTATTTTTTCATAAAATCAATATTTTACAACATCAGTTTTATGTTAATGAAGCGATCCGGATAATTTGCGGATATAAATTAATCATTCACTAGATAAAAAATAATCCAAATGGTTATTATATATCTGCAGAAATCTGAATAAATGATTCACAAATTATGTGCTAAATATTCGTAAATGATCAACAGATCACAGATAATTGATAATCCACAAATATTTGCATATCTGTGAATCATCCGTGAATTTTTTCTTTTTTTTTATAAAAAGTTCTTACCGTCTACAATAATAAAATTATTTTACAATTCATGGCTTGACATTTTATTTCAACTTAATATTTTATTTAAAATAATATTTTATATTTAGTTTTCATTTATAATTTCATTTTATTATAATTATATTGGTTATAAAAAAGTATAAACTAAATTTACAATTTTTTTGAAAAAGGATGAATACTTTTAACAAATGATGCATTTTTCTTTAAGAATATAAGCCTATTAAACAGTTCAGAATTTAAACATGTTCTTTTTGCTGTTAATAAATTTCTGGTATCACTAAATAACCTTTCACTCGGAGTAGAAGTAGCTGGGATAGGAAGGTAAATTCTGGCTAATTTTGAAAGAATTGGAAATTGTTCTCTGTGATCATGCCACCAAGTAAAAGGATCTGAATCAAAATCCAATTCAGGTAAAGATAAGTAAGTAGTTATTTCATTATCTTGTATGATTTTTTGTTTAAAAATTGAAAATAGAGAGGATTGGTTAGATAATAATGTTGAAGGAGCGGCAGGTGTTATTAAAGGATTAGCTTTAAGTTGATCATATTTGTTTTTTAATAAATCATTTGTTTTATTGTGAACTTTATCATCATCAATAAATTCAAGAGACTTAATTCTAGAATCAAGTAATGCTGAAATAAGAGTTTCTTCTTCTTCTTTATTTCAATATAATTCCATTGTATTATACAAATTAAGTTTTACTTTTTCTAACATTCCAGTAGTATTAAATGGTTCATTCAGGTTTAGCCTTTTTTCTAATGCATTTTTTATATTTTCACATTCAGCTTTCTCTTCTTCTTCTTTTTCTATAAAGATATCAGCAATTTCTTCTATATCTACATATTGAGATCTTATATTTTTTGGTTTTATCCGTTTTTTAATTTCTTTTAATAATGGACTCATAATACTATAAGTCACATATTTACTTACACCTAAATAAGTTGTGGCTTCAGCAAATTCTTTCAAAATTACACACGAGTCTTCTAGCAACTTCCATTCATTTTTAGTTAGCATAATTTCAGAAAGTCGTTGGCCATCTTTTCTTGAATCTATATTATTAGAAATTGGTAAAGTTGTTATAAGAATATCAATATATGGCTTAATTTCTAAAAGTCTCTTCTAGGCCAAAAAACTTGAATTCTATTGGATAGCAACATTTGCAATACAATGACGCAGTTAAGTGCTTGTTTTTTCAGGATTCTAAAATAATTTAGTAATAGTTATTTTTATTTTTTAAAAAATTCAATGTTTTTTGAAATACATGCCATACCAGCTGACTTTCAATATTTATTTGAATATTTTCTAGCCTTTCTGATTGTTTAAGTCTTATGAAGTAGTCAATTAATCATTTGGCTTTTAATACAAGCAATTTTACACATGCTAGCCCTTTTCCTACAACCAGTTATAATGTATATGCAGTGTAATGTTGCCAGGTAATATTTGGAGAAATTTCATTCATATCTTTAATTGCTCTTTTTATATTCACGTCATTGTCTATAGTAATTACATTAACCTTTTCTCTTAATATCTATTGATCTAATAATTCAAATAGGGTATCACTAATATGATCTGTTATATGTAGATATCGAACATATATAATTGTGAGAACAAATTCATGTAATTGAAAAATTTTATTTAAAAAGCAGCATGTAACTCCAATGTAGCCTTTCCAGTTCTGAGCAGTCCAAAGATCAGTAGTTAAGTTAACTAAAATTGCATGATCTTCAATATATTGAATGATTAAGAAAAATGTATGATTATACGCATAATGAATAATTTGTTTCATTAATTTTACATCAAGTATATAAAGCTGAGATCCAAATCATGTAAAAACCCCCTAAACATTTCACTCTAAACAAGTTTAAGTGGTATTAAATTAGCAAGAATCCAATTAACAAGAGATTGTCAAAGTTATATTTGCTTGGCTTCTTTATGTGGTCTTATTTTATTGGTAAGAGTAGTTTGGATCTATTTTTTGAAAAATTTTAATATGTTTTATATTACTTGTTACTGTTATAAAAGCAAAAATATTAACTTACTGATTTTTCTTTTATATCTGTATTTTCAGTAATTTGATGTGATTTAGCAAGATGCATGATTAGATTACTTATTGAGTTTCTATTTAAATAGAGCTTTCTGCAAAGTTTTTCATCTGTTATTTTAACTAAACATTCTGCATCAGTATTTCTGTTATCAAATAATACAGGTTCCTACCATTTCTATACCCACCTTTTATATTTATGTGTTTTTTCAAGTGTTCTTACTTTTTTGGGAATGTGTTCTGATGATTTTTGTTTTTTTGAGCGTTTATTAGAAGGTTTAAGAGTGGGTTGATTAGATGATTCTTCTTCATTATCATGATTACTAAGCAGAATAGTTTCTTCCGTCATGTTAACCAACTTTAAGAAAAAGAATATTTTTGTATGAAAAAAAGAAAAGTTATGTGAGAAAAATACTTTTGAATTTATACAATCATATGATATAATTATTGTAAGTTATCTGATATTCCAATTTCAGATATTAGATTAGTAAAGTATTTCCAAAAAGGGTTGGAATAGTGAGACAATAATCTTAAAAAGTAAACCAAAAGTGAGGAAAGATTAAGCATAAAAGTAAATGTTAATAAATAATTGAATTTAGGTATTAGGTCATTTAGATCAATTTTCAAAGTTTTCAATTTTTTTTACACTTAATTTTTTGCTTTTCTTGCAATAATTTATTAGAATATAAAATAAATTTAAACTATAAACTTAAAATACATAAAAACTAGCTAAAAATTAAAAAATAAAGTATTATAAAAATAATTATTTGAAATATAAAATCACATGATTTGAATGTGAACTTAATTCACAATTTTATCATATGATCAACATTTTTTTTTTTTAAAATCTTTTCAACTATATACTGAATTTCTTTACTATTTAATTTTAATATATCTAATGCGGAAATTGATTTGATTCTTATTAATTTTCCTTCACCAACTTAGCTAAAAAGATTATATATCTTTTTTGCTTTTTTTTTCTTTTTCTAAGATTATCATTAGTAATATTATTTGGAAGTTGTTGTCTTATTTCTACATTAACTGCTTTTTGAGCTTCATATTCCAAATGAAATTTTTTATGAAATTCCAATCTTTCTGAAAAAACTTTGCCAAATAAATAATAATATTTAATAACTTCTTAGTTTAAAATTCTATTTTGAATTTCAGCATTTATAATTTTACAATATAAATTGTAAAATTGATTTGCATATTGATTTTCATTTTCATTTTCATTTTCTTTCATAATTTCATAAGATAAATCCAAAATATTTGTTGTTAATTCTTGAATTAATGTAATATATTTAGGTTTTTTTAATACTTTTACTTTTTTAAAATGATTTATAATTTCAGTTTGTTTAACTAAATTTTGTTTAAGAAAATTATTACAAATAGGACATTTATTTAAGCATATAGCAAAACAATCCCAATAAAATATATGACCGCAGAAAACTGTAATAAATGATTTGTGTAATGTAGAGGAAATTGCTAAATCTCTTGATTGCATAAAGAACAAGAATCTGGTGTTTGATTTTCATTTTTTTTTAATTATTTCTTTAGGGATTTGTTTAAGATAATGTAACATAAACTTTATAACAAAATCAGAAGAAAAATCCATTTTTATGAGAATTAAGAATTGTACCGGTAATTCTAAAATACCTTTTTATTTATAACAATAAAATTTTTGTTATATTAATTTGATCTGTTCATTTGTTTATAGATTAAAAATCATAATTCATTATTATAGGTTTTTTATTTCTCACATTAGCAGACTCCAAAATAATTACATAAAAATTTTGCAATTATGCAATCACTTTTCAATTTATGGTAATGTCAGTTTTTATTTTCTCACATTAGCAAATCGCAATCACATACACAGTTTATGATAACGATCAGGGAAAAATAAAAAATGTAGTGTAACAGATTTGCAAAATTTGTTTTAAAAAAACACCACTATTTTTATTTATCTCTCTTTTGGTAATGCCATTATTGTTGATCGCTCTTCTAAGGGATTGGTTAAAAAAATAAAAAATAATTTATTCCTGCTTGTAAAGAAGATATTCATTGAACTTTATTTGGTCTTCCCAGAATTCTGAATTAAATGATGAAACAAAGGTAAGTTATTGTGTTTTTTTTAAAAAAAGTTAAAATAAAAAAAATATAAATAATTTTTACTTACCTCTTATTGTAAATGCCGAAGTTATAGAATCATTATTGATAGATCAGAGGTGAGTTAATATTTTTTTAAAAAAAAAAAAATATTAAAAAAACAAATTCATTAATTATTTCTTATCTTTTGTAAATGCCAAAATCTTTTTCAGAATCCTGAAATCCTAGATTGAAAGATAGATAAGTTGTTAATTATTTCTTTTAAAAAAATAAGTAAAATATTTATTGATTTCTTACCTTTTTTGTAAATGTCGAAGTTGGAATCCTGGATTAAATACAGTAAATTTATTTTTTTTCTTTAAAAAAAAAAATAAAGTTATTTAAAAAAAAATTTTCTTATCTCTTTATAGATGCTGAGGTCTTCGAGATCTCTCCTAAATCCTGGATTATATAAGGTGAGTTTTTCATTTTTTTTTAATAAAAAATAAAATTATTTAAAAAAAAAATACTTACCTCTCTTTGTAGATACTGAAATCCTTCTGGGAATTCGAGAATTCTAGATTGAAAGATGAAGGTAAGTTGTTATTTATTTTTCTTTTAAAAAAATGGTAAAATAAATTTATTGAATTTTCTTATCTTTCTTTGTAGGTGTCGAAGTTTAGAATCCTGGTTAATTATATAAGGTAAATTTATCTTTTTTCTTTATAAAAAAAAAATAAAATTATTTAAAATAAAAAATTTTCTTACCCATTTGTAGATGCCAAGGCCTCTCCTGAATCTTGAATTATGTAAGGTGAGTTTTTCATTATTTTTTAAAAAAAAGTTACTAATTTTTTACTTATCTTCTTAGTAGATGCTGAAGTCCTCCCAGAAATTGAATCCTTTCTGAATTGAATGATGGATTGGAGGTAAGTTATAAAGTTTATCTGCTTTAAAAAAAAAAAAATTATTTAAAAAAAAAATGCTTTCCTCTCTTTGTAGATACCGAAATCCTTCTATAAATCTGAGAATTCTGAATTGAAGAATGAAGGTAAGTTGTTATTTTTTTTCTTTTAAAAAAATAGTAAAAAAATTTATTGATGTTTCTTACCTCTTTAAAGGTGCTGAAGTTTGAAATCCTGAATTAATTATATAAGATAAGTTTATCTTTTTTCTTTAAAAAAAAAATTAAAATTATTTAAAAAAAAATTTTCTTACCTCTTTGTAGATATAAGGTTTTCTCTAGTCTAGGACATTAATTAATCATTTCACACAATATATAGATAGTTCTTGAATTATAAATTTTATAACCAAAAAAAAAAAAAATTTTATTTAAATTTTAAAGCTTATCGTTATCGTTATATGAAAAAAAATATTTATATAATATATAATTAAAAAAATAAAATAGTTTTTTTCAATACTACCAAATTTATAACATGATGCATTGTTTTGATTGATATGATATTTTATTTTTATTGTGTAATGTATTATGTTTTATATAATACCTTTATAAATTACATTAAACATATTTACAAATTGATCTACAAATTATGAGATGAATTTGCAAAATATTTGCGAATCATTCACAGATAAATTTCACAAATCTGTAATACTTAAAAATGATCTGGATATCTGAATTATCTGAATATATGCATTATTTGCATAGATTACTATTTACAGATTGCTTCTCTATTTTATATACAGTAAAAGAATTTAATACTAAAAGAGATTTTGAACTACTGTCTTGTCTTGAATGTTATATTTAAACATTTTTCACCTATCAAGACATTTCATTCAACCTTGAGAATTAGCATAAACAATTATTTCATCAGGAAATTCTTTTTGAAAAACATTTACAAGTTTAAAAATAATTACAGGTGGTAATTTTGTTCCATTAGTCATATAACTTAAAATAACAGTAAAATTTGAATGCTCATATTTGATTGATAAGAATTGAAACAGTTTTAATATTATATTGTTCAACTGTTGTATTATTTGGTAAATTAAATAATATTGATATTTCATCCATATTTCCAATTAAAGATAATGGGTAATCATGTTTTTTTTAATAAAATAAAATATAAGATAAAAATTCATTCTGTTGTTCAACATAATTTTCTGGAAGCCATTAAGCAACTGTTGTTTTTCTTCTGTTAATGAGTTATGATAGCTTATGAAATTATCAACCCATTTTTGTGAAAATTTTATACCTTTTATATCAGGATATTTTAACTGATACACTGTTTTTTTAGCCAAAGAACATGTTATTGTTTGAATTATGTAATGAGAAATAACTTTCAATTGACTTTAGGATTTTTTAAATCATTCAAAAAGTTTACCTTCAAGTAAGAATATTTTGGATAAACACCTGTATTAAGCTTTTGAATATGAGGAACTGTTTTTAAACAATTATTCTTTATTGTTTAACCATTCTTAAAGTTATTTAGACTAAATATTAAACTTTCTTGCAGCTGAATGTTTATTGTAGCCTTTTTCATAATATGTAATAACCATTAATTTTTCTTGTACTAACCTTTATTTTTTTCATAACATTAACATGACAGATCTTGAAATTTTCAAAACTACATTTTTAAAAATAAAATAAAAGAAATGTTAATATAATTTTTAAATATAAATATATTTAAAGAATTATTTTTAGTACCTTTAGTTCTAAAATCTGATAAAAAAAAACCTTGAAAAATGTGAAAAAGTAATCTTTAAATAAGATTTTCTTCCAAAATGAGTTTTATTTTTCAAATAGATAAAAACTTATAAAAGCATTTTTTAGTTTCGATAATTGTTAAATCAGTAATTAAAAGTATAACTTTTGATAAAAAGGATAATATATCAATATTATTTCTTTGAATATTAGATACTAATATTATACATAAAGTTGAAATGAAAACCCAAAAGTCAAAATGTTTTGACTTTGAAGGTCAAAGTTAAAATAAAAAGTTGAAATAGTCAAAATGACGTTCTATCACATAATTTTTCATAAAGAAAAATATTCTAAAGAAATAAAAATGTGCGATCTCAGTCAATACCGCTCTGATTCATATAACACTATTACCATTTGATTCCTTGTGACTAGACAGATCTAATAAGCTAATATTCATTAATTTGGATTAGCTTATTTCGAGATATTCATAATTAAATTTCAAACAATTTAAAAAAATTATCCTTTTGGAACGATACATCATTGATTTTATTGAACAATTAAAAGAAAAATTGTCTTAAAGGAATAATACATTATTGTTTAAGAAGAACAATTTAAAAAATCGTTCTTTTAGGATGATATACCATCATTTAATAAGAATAATTAAATAAAAATCATCCTAAAGAGACGAGAAATCATCGTTCAATAAGAACAATTTATAAAATCATTTTAAAGGACAATAAATCGATCATTCAATAAGAACGATTAAAAGAAAAATTGTCCCTTTAGAATAATATATTATCGTTCTAATTGAATAATCTAAAAAAAATCATTTCTTTGAGATAATATATCATTATTTAATAAGAACGATTTATAAAATCATTCCAAAAGGATGATAGATATTGTTCTTATTGAACAATCAAAAAATTGTCTTTTTGGGACAATGCATCATTATTCATTTGGAATAATAATCATTCAATAAGAACAATAATTATTTAATAAGAATAATAAAAAAATTATTCCTTTGGAATGATGATTGTTCAATTAGCACAATTCAATATTATTTTAATCGGATGATGCAAAATTTCTGATTGGAATGATCAAATCATCATCCTTTCAGGACGATACACTATTGTTCATTCTAATTGGACAATACAAAACCATCTAATTAGCTAATGAATATCAGATTAATCAACATTTTCTATTACATTATAAAACCGATAAACTTTCAGATTTATCCGAAAAAATCTTTTTCCTTTTTTTAACTTTTTCTTTTCTTTTTTCTGTATTTTTAAAATATTCTCATCTTAGAAGATTTTTATCATTTTTCTTTCTTTGTTTTTTTAGGAAAATTCTCATTTCAGAAATAAGGTTAGTCATTCAGAAATGACTTTTTGGATGAAAATTTATTCTTTTATTTCTTTTATTTTTCTTGTTTTTTTATGAAAATTCTTATTTTGGAAATCAGAAGTGAATTTTTAAATGGATTTTTCTTTCTTTTCTTGTTTTTTTAAAAAAATTCTCATTTTGAAAATAAGGTAAGTAAATTGGAAGTAGCTTTATTGATGGAAATTTACCTTTTACCTTTCATATTTCTTGTTTTTTTAGAAAAATTCTTATTTAGAAATTAAGGTAAGTAAATTGAAGGCAACTTTTTAATGGTTTTAACTATTTTTTTTTTTATATTTTTAAAAGAAATTATTTTTTTGAAACTAATGTAAGCCTTTTAGAGATAACTTTAGAATAGTTTTTAATCCTTTTTTTTTTTGATTTTCTTTATTTTTTTAGGGAAGTTATCTTTTCGAAATTAAGTAAGCCTTTCTGAGATAATGTTTTAATGATTTTTTACTTTCTTTAGGTCTTTAGGAATACATTAAGGTAAGTAAATTAGATGTGATTTTTTTAGTTTTTTTATATGTTTTCTTTATATTTTAGAAATATACTAAGGTAAATAAATCAGATGTGACTTTTTGGTGGATTTTTTATTATTTTTCTTTCTTTTTTCTTGTTATTTTAGAAAAATTCACATTTAAAATTAAGATAAATAAATCTGTGATATTTTGGATGAAAATTTACTATTTTCCTTTCTTTTTTCTTTATTTTTTAGGAAATTATCATTGGTAAGTAAATTAGAAGGGACTTTTTGGATGGAAATTTATCATTTTTCTTTCATTTTTCTTTTTTTTTAGGAAATTATCACCTTGATAAGTAAATTAGAGATGACTTTTTAGGTGGATTTTTTACTATTTTCCTTTCATTTTTCTTGTTATTTTAGAAAAATTCACATTTGGAATTAAGACAAATAAATCTGAGATGACATTTTAGATGAAAATTTACTATTTTTTCTTCTTTTTTATTTATTTTTTTAGGAAATTATCATCTTAGTAAGCAGAAAAAAGAAAAAATAATATAATGAATTTATTTTTTAAAATAATTTTTTTTTTAGTTTTTATAAATTTTTTCAATCTAAATTTCAGTTATAAACTGGTTCATAAAATTATTGAGCTCAGTTCTACAGTCTACTTCAAACAAAATAAGAATGTGATGCAAGTATTACTATAAAATCGAAAGGCCACGTCTTTCTCTTTAGAGATCCAATCAACATGGTGTGGCTAACCAATCCAAAGTAAAGATACTCGTCAAAATCCCTCAAAATAATTTCATCATACCTCTTACTATGTTTTTAATATGATTTCAGCTAATTTTGGGTTTCAGGATTTCGTTATACCCTTCACTATGTTTTATTATAATTTCAGCTGTTTATTAATTGCCTTTTTAATCATCTTTTAATCCGAAACTTCAAATCAATCTCATCTAAAGTACTAATGTACCCTCTTCTTTCTAATTGGATTTTTTCCAAGAATTTTTACTTAAAAAAAGTGTCTGTTCAACGGTAGCTGTGGTTTAGCCTGCGAACAAAACAAAAAATCTTACCTTTCAAAAATATTTCTCTTTTTGTTTTTATGCTTATATTCACATAAAATTTTTTGAAATAGTCTAAATAATGTTGTTTTTTGTTAAAATATTTTTTTCTTCACCTTTTTTCAAAAAATTTTTTTCCGTTTTTCTCTTTTTCTTTTTTGTAAAAAGTGAGCATCAAGGGTATTCTAACTGATGATCACAATCAACATACTTTGGATAAACAAATCTCATGTAATGACACCTTTTCCCTTTCTAAACAATATACTCTCTTTTGATTGGCCTCTGCCTTTCTGCAGATTCTCTATCGTCAAAGGTCACATGCAAATTCAGTGTAATTTTCTACATGGTGTGGTGAAACTTGCTTTCAGAATGATTCTAATCCCTTGGTTTGGTTAGCACCTGAAAAACCGTTGATTCTTTCCTTGCCTTAGCTGGCTGACTTGGTTCAGTTGGTAGTAATCCAAAGTGATTTCACCCTTAAATCCTTTCTCGCTGACCTTCTGTGAATGTAGTTTAATTTTATAGTGGATTCCTCATGATATTTTTTCCGTACCTATGAATCTATAAGTACGAAGAGCTTCTATTTAGACCTCTTTTTTGAACGCACCCTCTTTGGCCAGGTGGTTGTTATATCCAGAATTAACTGGACATTTAGGTTCTTATAGAGTTGTGTTTCTTGTTTCTTTTTTAATAATTTCTATTGTACCTATTTCCCTTCTTAGGAGGGTTGTTAATGTGTTTAAATTTTTTATATAGAAGTTGGGATCAAAGGGCATTTAGAAATTACGTTGCTGTATTAACAACCTCATTTGAATTTCTTGTTGATGGCTCGATCATTAAATATGGATTTTTTGGTTGGGATTCCGGTGATCAGTCGATCTAAACGGGTTTGAGCTTTTATTAGCAATAGGACTACGGGAGATAGTCATTTGTTTAGCTTTTTATCTACTTTGTAATTTTTCTTTGTAAATTTTATCTAGTATACAATATAAATTTAATAAACTTATGGCAGTACTGCATCGTTAAAAGAAAAAAAAAAAAAAAAAAAAAAGTACTAAATGTACCCATCTTTCTTAATATTACCCTTGAACCGTGACTTAATATTCCCACCTAATTCACAAATTTCTATTGCTACATGAAGATACACCTCTTAAGTTATATCTTTTTTCTTCCCTAATTCGATCGAAAATTTCCTGCAAGAAAAGTATGTTAGTAGATATTAATAAAATTAATGGGAAATTAGATAGTAATGCGGAGTAATGGAAGGAATTGCCACTCCTTTTACTATGTAAAGGCGGGCAGGCATGAATTTTTAATGACTTTTCATAATATTTTACGCTTTTATTCCTCCTTTTATACTCGCTACTCCAATTTTTATCTTTAGCCGGTCAGTCTCTTTTTTTCATTTTACAAAAAAGTTTTCGCAATAAATTTTCGCGACGTAAAAGAACGCAGATTGCAGTTTTATTTATGCTAAATTACAAAAATCTAAAAAGTTTTTAAAATACCTTAACATCAAAGAATAAAGATTTGCTAATATTGCATATTAATATTAATAAATTTTGCTATAGAATCTGAAATAGATTATTTTGTAAAAAAACATTATCATGTGTTTCCTGAATAGTTATTATTAAACACTACAGTATACTCGTAACCATTAATCAGCTTCTTGTGAATTGCTAATTATAACGTCGTTCTAAGCGATGAAGTGATGATATAATTATTTATTCTTACGCAACTTCTTTCTTGCTTTTTTTCCTTTTGAAACCACAAGATTAGCCTTAGCCTCCAAAAGCTTCTTCTCAACCCCTCCTCTGTGTGATTTTTGAATTCTTCATCCAATCGGCGTTCTTCCTCATTTACAGGTAAGTGTCTTCGATAACGTAACACAACCTATCCGGATGGATGAGATAATTTTTGATTCCTTTTTCCAAGTCGGATCCCATGTATATCACACTATTTTCCATTGCATTCCACAGAAACAAGCATTTATTTTTATCTAAAAGCCACATTACAAATTCAGAATGGTCTAATATAAAGGAAAAATTTTAGTGATTCCAAAGGTTTTAACAAGATGTTCTCTAAGGCTTGCATTAAGAAGCCGCTTATCCTTTTCCCGTAAAGTCGTGAAGTTCGTCTTTCAATTGATCTAAAAGTTGAAACGGGACATCCTGCAATTTTGGCAGGGATCCTCCTACGTCTATTGTGAGAATCAGAATTGGCATATTGGGCCTCATTTGACTTAGATGCTCCATGTATTCATCTCCGAGCAATTGCCATGATCCCAACGCTCTTTCCTTGGCATCACCTCCCGATTCTGATTTCGAGGGAGGATATGTAGAGGGAAATTGTTCAGATCGGTCATCTGTCGAAATCTGATCATATGTTTTCTGGGTTGGCGTCTTCCCGCTACTGATGCTCCGAATGATACTGCGATTATTTTTTTGAGATTGACTTTCTTATAGTTTTCGGGCATATAACCTCTTGGTCTGTAGGTTTTAAAATGTTTATCAAATTTGCAATCTGATTCAAATGTTTTGCGTAGAAATATCTTTGGTTTTGGACGAGAGTTCTTCGTATAAATCGTCATGGACCTGATCACTTTTATCATTGGAACTGGGAATTGATTATGACCTACGGGATAGATGGTGTTGTTGTTTCAGATGTAGAACAACAAAGAGTATAAACGTCAATGCATGACTTTGTTATAAGAAAGAAAGTACCTGAAACGTAGGAAAAACGTATCGTAGAGATCTTGTTCTCCGTGTTTCTGAGCCATTAAACTGATTTCTCTGAAATTCTAAAAAAAAAAATTCTTTTATTCATACCTCGTTCACAGGTACCAATAATATACTGCATAATTCTCGTACAATAAAATATGATTGGTTGTAATCACTTTCCTGTTTGAGGCATTATCGTGAGAATATTTTAACATTTGAGGTCAAAAACCCGTTTAGTATGTGACTGATCGATCGTAACACAATATCTGATAACATCATAAACACATGACAACTGTGACACTGTATAATAAATATAAATTGAAGCTATATGAAGAAAAAAATAATAAAATATGACTAATCGATTTAGTGCAAAATTATTTACAAAATTACAAACATTACGAACAAATCGATATTTTTCATATGAAACATTTCAACATATTCAAAGATTAAAATTAAGAGCTTTACAACCTGTTCGTTTCACTTCAACTTCTTCTAAAGTATCTTATTACTTTCATGAAAGTTCAAAAGTATCACAACTAATGGAGTCAACTTCGACGATCGATGATATCTTCTCTGAAGATAATAGAATTGCAGTTCAGAACAAATCAATTAAAGCATTGATTCATTCTCTTATTGTTTACAGATTATGCTCTTTTCAATGGTTAGTGAATCGTGCTCCAGGATTAATTTCATTTGGCGAAAAAGCAGGCCTTTCAGCACCTATTTATTGGATAATAAAACATACCTTTTTCGCTCAATTTTGTGGGTATGTACGCTTTGTCTTTTATAACAATGCTAGCATTCCGGGTATTAGTTTATTCTAATCGTTTATTTTCATAAATTTATAGTGGAGAAACTGCCAAAGAATGTATAGACACTATGTCTCAATTAAAAACGCATGGGATTGGGTTGATACTTGATTTATCAATTGAGGCAGATATAAATGAAAATGGATCTTCATCTCTTAATGAAAGTCGTAATAACGAAGCAGATCACGTTTACAGAGCGATGGCTAAATGTATAACGACCGCTGCATCACATCCAAATAATTTTGTGGCATTAAAGTTAACTGGTTTATCTAACCCAACAATTTTGCGAAACTGGACTTTGACTTTAAATTCTTTATCCAAATCATTTGATAAATTTGATATAAATAAAGATGGCAAATTAGAAAAGTCTGATTTCCTTAAATTCGTTTACGAATTATTCGGCAATGATAAGGCATATGTTGCCAGAATATTTGATCATGCCGATGTAAACAAAGATGGTTTGATTGATAAGGTTGAATTTATTAATATGCTTTCTTTAGATAATAAATCTTCTCGATCTTTATTGGTTTGTAATGAAGGTTTCCATTTGAAACAAGATGATTTTGATGATTATGATAAGATGATGAATCGTCTTAAAGAACTTTGCGAAATTGCTCGAAAAAAGAATGTTCAATTAATGATTGACGCAGAACAAACTTATTTTCAACCGGCTATAGATGATGTAGCCATGAAATTATCCACAAAGTATAACAAATCTGATAACAAAAATGGTCCAATTATTTTCAACACGTATCAAATGTATTTAAAAGACTCAACCGAAAGGTTGATCCAAAATTATAATTTGTCAAATCGGAAACAATTTGTATTTGCGGCAAAAATAGTGCGTGGAGCTTATATGATTAGCGAACGGAAGAGAGCTAAAGAAATGGGATATCCTGATCCAATTCATGACAATATCGAAAACACTCATGCAGCTTATGATTGCGCTGTGGAATTTCTATTAAATAAATTATCTGAAGCTCAGAGAACATTAGATAAGCCATTAGATATTTCAAACAGTCCAGTAGTATTTATGGTTGCTTCCCATAATAAAAAATCCATAATTAAGGCATTACGACAGATGATGGATCTTGACATTTCAACCAAATCTGGTTTAATTTTGTTCGGACAATTATTAGGTATTGTTAAAAACACTCTTTAATACATCACATCAAAATTAAAATTTTACTGATACCTAATTAATTTTGTAAAGGTATGTGTGATACTATTACTTATACGTTAGGAAAATCAGAATGTGGAGTTTACAAATATGTACCCTATGGCAAGGTAAAATGAATCATCGTTTATTTATTTATTATTTATTTTTATGCTAATGAATTCCTATTTTGTAGGTTAATGAAATTATACCATACTTAATAAGAAGAGTTCAAGAAAATTCTTCAATTTTTGAAGGTGTAAAAGAAGAAGGTCAATGTTTATGGAGAGAGATTATAAATCGTATTTTTCACATGCAATCTTTAATATCAAATTCCTAATGTAATTAATAATTTTTTATTATTTTAAATAATATTCTAATTTTATATATCATAATTTTATAAATTAAAATAGCTTTTAATTGATATATAAATATATATATTTTTTGCTTTTTGCTTTTTGCTTTTTGCTTTTTTATTTTATTAATTTTATTATATTCAAATAATAAAGCTAATTACTGTTATAAAGATTAACATATTTTTTAAAAATAAAATTGTTAATTTAACTTTTAATATATATATATATCTATTTTTTATATTTAATTATATAATAGTTATAATAAAATTAAGAATTATATAACAATATTTTAATTTAATAATTTAATTATAAAAAATTTTTATTTATTTAAAAACTAATTAATTTATCTAAAAAATTGATAATTTTAAAATTAGATAAATTATATAATTAATATATATTATAATATATTTATTTATTATTAATTCAAATATTAAATTATTTTTTAAATAATAATGTTTTATTAAAAAAATTAATTTTTTACATTTTTTTGTTTAAACTTATATAAATTACTATTTAAATTTTTAAATTATAAAAGTATTAATAGTATTAATTAAAATTTAATTAGAATATTGTTATAAAAATAAAGTTTGTTTATTAAAAATTCGAAAAAATAAAATTATTTTAAATATAAAATAAAATTCTATAGATATCTATTATATTCTACGTGTTTAAATAAAAAAATTTTAATTTAAATAAGTTCTCAATATACTTTTTGCACTTAAAATCTATAAATTATTACTAAATCTCTACGAATAGCATCCAAATACATTCCCTTTTCATTTAATTACTCACGGATTTTAGTATTTTTTTAATTATTATATAAATTCTAATTGTTATAACTATTTTCTTTTACCCAGAGTTTATGAAAACCTAGATTAATTGATTATAAAAAATTACTAAGAATCAAATCGTAAACTTTGTTGATTATTATAAAGTTACTTACTTAAAATTCCTGCTATAAAGCCTGATACGGCCTGTACACCATCAGAAAATTTACAACCAAATAAATCATATCCTAAAAATATTATAAATATATTAAAATCTTTTAATCACAAGCCAGAAAAACATCATGTACTTACCACAGAAACAAAAATCCATAATAAATTTAACTAAACTAATATACAACCAATATTTTCTATCTTTTAATTTTTCTAATTCATTTTCAGATATTTTTTCTTTTGGTTTTTTAGTTTTCTCATTTAATAACCAAATTCTAAATATAAGTTCATGAATATCCAAGATAATATTTACAAACCATAATTTAATAGCAATCGGTTCGGATCTTTTAGCTACCGACTTACTTAAAATTCCAATTTTACCAAGACAATATAAATCATCAAAAATATCATTCAATAAACTAACAATCGAATTAATAAATCCCAAGGTATGAACAACATGTTCATAAGGAATTGCGGTGCGTGGTAAATTACGTTTGCCTGCTACGTATTCTTTAAAATCTGCGTATGGTTCAAGAAAATGTGCTAATCGGATTATTTTACGAGTATTAGAAAATTGAGATGTCATGACATTTAAACGAGAATAAAGTTTAGGATATTTGGTCTTATTTTTATTAATATGAAGCCAAAGAATAATTTTTCCAAAATACTGAGTAACTTTTAAAGATTTATCGCGACCATCGGAGTGAACTAATAATCTCCGAAGGATTTCTACAGTTGGTTTTGGAATAGGACGTTTTATTGATGGAATCTTATTATTTGTAGAAGGGTTAAATACTGTTGTAATTGCAGTTATGGACGAATCGGTAAGTAAAGCTGGAGTTGAACTTGTGTCATACATAGTTATAAAAAGTGCAATGAAAGAGTGTTTAATTGAGAAAATTTAAAACCAAAAGAAAGAAGAGCAGTATATTAAGCATCTGCAATTCATACCAACCAACTTTTTTACATCAAACATTGTGTCCATATTGTGTAACGAATATTAATTAATTCAAATTTCAACACTTCTTTCTATTTCATTTTAATTTTCCGATACCAAAATTTAATTTGTACCCTCGTTATTTTCATTTTCCATTTCTTTCTCACTACATTATGCAACAGCCCAAAACACAACAACCTACGTCAGTTGTTAGATCTTGTGTTAATATTTTATTAGGGATTTTTCATTTTCCATTCCTCATTGTGACAAAAATAACTCAAAAACTTTTAAGCCCTGTTAAACGTAATCAAAGACGTATTCAAAAACGTTCTCCTACTTTTGTTTTTAAATTAATATGGACGGTTGCATTATTAATAGGAGAAGTTTTTATTTTTTCGTATTCTATGCGAAAATGTTCTTGGCCAGAACATAAAAATTGGGTAGGTATCAAAATATAATTGATAAACGATATCTTATTTTATTATTTTAATTGTTAAAATCTTAATTATAGAACACGACAGCAATAGGGCCTGTTCATGTTGCAATAATTGCTGACCCACAAGTAATTGATGATTATTCTTATGGCCGAACAGGTATACTTCAGCGAATTTCTGAAATATATCCTGATATGTATATGAGAAAGAATTGGGTAAATTTACAAAATATTTTTGATCCCGATGCAATAATATTTCTTGGTGATTTAATGGATGGAGGAAGAGAATGGAATGATAGGAAGCAAGTTAAATTTTTAATTAAAAGTAGTTAATTTTATAGATTAATTAATTTTACTAAATATATATTTTTTTATTTAATTAGGTGGGATAAAGAACTTCATCGATTTCAAGACCTCTTTTTACCCGAAAAACCATTAAAAACATCGATTTTTTATTTAGCAGGGAATCATGATATTGGTTTCGGAGATCATGTAATTCCAGAAGCGTTTTACAGATTTCGAAAAGAATTTGGACCATTAAGTTATATGACAAATATTGGTAATCATTCATTTATAGCTTTAGATACAATAACTTTGAGTGGTTCTAACGATACTTTGAAAAAGGACGCGAAAGAATTAATACAGAGACTCGAGAATGGTGAAATTTATGTATTAAATGATTATTTTTTTTTTTTTTTGAAATTACCTTTTAATTCTATTCTATTTTATTTTATTTTTTTAGATACAACGAATTCCCTTCCTCGCATATTATTAACACATGTCCCTTTATATCGTCCGCCGAATACTGATTGTGGAACTCTTCGACAACAAAGTCGGTATATTAAACAAGGTGCTGGCTACCAATATCAGAATTTAATATTAGAATCTTTAACAAATTACATTTTAAATAAGATAAAGCCAATGTTAATATTTAGTGGAGATGATCATGATTTTTGTGAAATTCTACACGATGAAATAGATGGAATTCCTGAAATTACAGTGAACAGTTTCAGTTTTGCAATGGTAAATATATTTTATTAACCTTTTTTTTTAAATTGCTATAAATGATATTAACAACGATAATAATTTATAGGGGATTAGCAGACCGGGTTTTTTGCTTTTAAGTCTTTATAATCCTTTAAATAATGATAGTTCAACAGAAACCAACTTTGCAACTTTCGCTTATTCTCAATGTTTACTACCAAATCAAATTCGAATATATATTTGGTATATAATATTAATATTTGCAACAATATTATGTATTTTTTCTCACACATTTATTAAACTAAAAAGAAATACCGAAATATTACCAATATGGAAAAGATATCATCAGAAAAAAAAATGGATGATATTTACTTCACGATATTGGAAGATAATAGGCAAAGAAATTGGCGATATTGCTTTAATTGCGCTTATAATTTACTTAGTTTGTTGGATATGGTTTTTACTTTAAAAAGAATTTATCTAATTAAACTTGATAGTTTAATTTTTCAATTTAAACATAATTTCATAAATGTTGGGTTTTTAATAATTTCATCGTAATTAATGTATACAATCAGTTGTATCTTCTGGACATAGGTATCTTTCAAAATTCAGTTTTCTCAAACTCCAAATTAATAATACTACATGAATAATACTTTGCAAGTTGAAACTAGATTATGGGCGTACAGTGGTATTATTAGGGATAGAGGAGATGCCAAGTCGCGAGTATACCGAATGAAATGCCAAAGAGTGCGTGAATGAAATCAGTTCAAATGAAATAGAAGATTAGACGACGAAAACTTATTAGAGATTAATACTATGCTCTAGCATATATATATATGTATATATATATTTACAATATTTTTTAAAGTAGAAATTTAATCAACTCATCAAAAAAAAACTAGCCAAGCCACAATTGAATCTATTCACTCATTCATTATTTCAATCTTCATAATGGCATAGTTTTCATTAAAGGTGTAGTTCAAATTCGATTCTTACAAATCATATAAATGGAGTGAGACGCTGGGTTAGCGATTCTTTTTATCTGCTTTGTAAAGCAAAATCAAGTTAAACCAAATAAAATATAAATCTTACTCTAAAAATTAATGGTATACTTGATGAGATCATCAATTGCCACATTGTTAAAAAAAAAAGAGAAAGTAGTAATTATATGTACTTTTGACTTTTGACATTGATAATCTACTGTAAGATTTTTGATTTCATCAAGTCTAATAAGGCTGCTGCTATCAAATTGACAATTCCTCTGTTTTTTCTTATGATATATGAGATATAGATGCAGTATTGATAACTACTGCTGCAAATTTTTCTAAACCAATTCGCTTTATAGTATTTGAAATTTCATTAAACCCGTATGAGATTCAGCTGAACAATTTCTTAATACAATTAAATATTTTTTTTTTCATGTAGGAATTAATATAATACAATTACATAAAGATTCTTTTCTTTTTGAAGTTTATTCGTTCTATTCATCTAAAAACTAAGATAAAATAATATAAATAATGAATTAATTTAATTATTATTATAAATTGTTATAAAATATAATATATATATATTATTTTTATTAATTATAATTTAATAATAAAAATAAGAAGCTAAAAGAAAAAAAAGAGTAAAATAGGGAAAAACGAGAAAAAAGAAACAACAACAAAAAAGAGAAAATTAAATAAAATTAAATTAATTACATATCTATACATAAGATTCTAGTTACTGCAATTCATCCTAAATGATAATGTATTCTTGTAATAATTGAATTTGTTTAAAAAGATATCAAATATTTATTTAATGTCATTTATTATTACAGTGGCAGTCAAATGTTTTGCATCACCTGATCGACAAATTTTAAAATTTAATTATTTCATATGCAAATAACAAAAAATCAAAAACTTATATTTATTTGATTTATTATATCCGAAAGAATAAAAAAATATATTTTCTTTATTTATTAATTAATAAAAAAATTTAAAAAATAAAAATTTAACCAATTTTATGCGATGTATTTCTTTTGATCGTTTCTCATGAACATAATTTTAAATGGATTATTAAAATAAAAAATAAACCTAAACCCCTCAAATTTTTTTTAAAGTGAAGTTTACCATCGGGTATAACCCTTTTGCACTTATTACATCATTGATATGTTGAGGCATATTTTCTATTAGTCTGGTAAGAAACTCATTATCCATTTCAACCCAAACCTTTTGTATTGCATCCCAAAATTGATCCTGTGTATAAATTCCTGCAGATAACTGTCTTAAATGTCTGTCAATCTCATTCCATAAATGCTCAATTAGATTTAAATCCAGTGATTGCGGTAGCCATTCAAGTACATTAATGTCATTGTCTTCAAACCACTGCTTAGTTAGATTAGCAGTGTGTTTGAGGTCGTTATCCTGTTGGAATATAATATTACTTTTATCTAACTAATACTACTGGATGATTTCCAAGAAATCTTCATCCAAGATTTGTTAATACAAATCACCATTCATGGTCTCATAAATTTACACAATGTTGCCAATTTCAAAAGAAGAGAAGCATCCCTATACCATAATACAACCCTACTAAACTTCATTGTAAGAATTACATGCTGGTCAATAAGTGGCTCTTCTGGTCATTTTCAATAATATTGACATTCATTAGATCCAAATATCATGAATTTGGATTCATCTGACCAAATTATTCATTTCCACTCATCAAATCCCCAATCCTAATATTTTTTAGCAAATTTTAAGCGTAACTCACAGTGTTTTTTTTCAAATATAGTTTTTTTGCTTAACTCTTGAAGAAAAACCATTTCTACGTAATATACGCTTCACAGTGCTTATACTGACATTGATTCTTTTATTGGTTCTTAGGCTTTTTCACAATTTAATTTTCATTAATGCTCACATTCTCATAGAGATTTTTTTGCTCATAAAGAACAAGGATCTATACAATGTTTGTTTTGTTACATAATATATATTTGCATATTACTATACATTTATCATTACAAGATGGATATGCATGATATGCATTCTTTTTATAATAATATTTCGCATATTTATATTCACAAAATAACATTTTTTATGTTCTATTTAACAAACTGTATGGTATGGTTTCTATATATAGAACGTATGATTTTTTACCATAAAATTTTTTACATACATGTATTGTTTTTTTAAAATTTAATATACATGCCGAATATTTTTAATGTATAGTAAAACTAAAGCACCACGAACTGTTATTTATATTCTTTCCATTTTTGTTTAATTATTTTTTAGGGTTTTTTTTTGAGCTAAAAAATTGTATATAAGAAATGAAAAATTCAATGAATACTCTAATCGTGAATTACAAATTAATTTTTCTTTTTATTTGTTAAGTTTCATTAGGTTTATGAATATCCATTTTCGTTAATTTTTTAATTATGATGTTTGGTGAAATTAGTCAAATTCTAATTGGCAAATCAATTAATATAATAATATTTTTTTTTTAATAATGTTTGACTTTGAAAATCTTTTATATTCCCCATTACATTTTTCTAAAAATTCAATTAAAATGAACCGTGTAGTATGTGAAATAGTTAAATCCACATAGGAAAATCCAAAATTAAATGTATATGGATATTTATATGTAAAAAATAAAAATAATGATCAGAGATATTACTGGTTTCGTGAGTCAAGAAAAAGTAAAAACTGCTGTGGAAGAGCTACAACAGATTTAGAAGGCAAAGAGCATATATTAAAAAGTACTCAAAATCATTGTCATACATCAGAAGCAAGCCGAGTAGATATTATTAAAATACTTGATATAATAAAGGAAGCAGCATCTTATATACATAATTAACCTGTACAGATAATTTGAGATGCAGTTGTTCATATGAATCAAAATTCATACTTCTATTTACCAAATAAACAGGCATTAAGAAAACAGATTTCATGTGTTCAACTTAAAAACAAACCTCCATCACCACAAATACTAGAAGAAATTAATATTCCTGTTGAATTACATAGAACTATCGATGGTGAAGAATTTTTAGTAAGAGATATAGAATTTGATGAAGAAAGAATCATGATCTTTTGTGCAGAATCTAATCTTCAACATTTAATGGATGCTGAATATTGGATAATGGATGGGATCTTTAAAATAGTACCTATACTATTTTACAAATGTATACCATACATGCATTAGTTTGTGATGAAAGTAACGCACGTGTTTTACCTATGGTATATGCATTGATGACAGGAAAATCAGAGGAATGTTATACTTGATTATTTCAAGAATTAACTGATTTAGGTGATGAAGCTAATCTAATTTTAAATTTCCCTTTGATACTTACTGATTTCAAACAAGCAGCAATAAATGCAGCCCAAAGTGAATTTCCAGAATCCATTCACAAATGTTGCTTTTTTCATTTATGTCAGAATTTTTGGAAAAAAATTCAAACTTCTGGATTAGCAGCTGAATATGGAAGCAATGAGGATTTTAGTCTTAAATTACGTCATCTTACAGCTTTAGCTTTTTTGCTATCATCTGAAATTCCAGATGCATTTAACCAAATCAAGCCTTTAATGCCTTCAAATGCATCTGCAGTTGTATAATATTTTGAAGATAATTACATTCATGGTAGAACTCGAAGAGTACTTAGAAATAATATAACTGAGCGTTGAAGTTCACCTCTATTTTTACCAAACCTTTGGTCTATATACGATCTTATTGAAAATAATCATCCAAGAACACAAAATATTTTTGAAGGATTGCATCAATGATGGCTTACATTAATTGGAAAAAAACATGTAGATGTTTATACAATTATTGAAGAAATGCGAACTGAATAATACTAAACTCAGTTGCAAATAAAAAGTATTCTTTGTGAAGAACCTTTAATACCCAAACATAGGCATTAAATTATTCACGAAAATCACATTTTAAATGTTTTTAATAATCGTGATGATTACATACTTGTTGATTTTTTAAGAGGAATAGCACATAATATTTCTTTTTGATTATCATTGTTTATCTGTAATTTAAATTTTCATTTTATTTTTAATTAATAAAGTAAAGATTATCTTTTATTATAAATTATTTTATGAATCAGAAATTGGCCATAATACAATAAAATGACTTTAAATTATAAAGAATCTGAAACTCTATTTGGAAAATATCAAAGTTGGAATGAAAAATACTTTGTGTTTATTAGCATACGATAGTTAATCAGAAATTCTTTATCATTAAATATATTGTTAAGCATTATTATTATATTATGATGTGATCGCAAATAACGCAGCTAAATTTTAAAGTTTAATTTCAAAGGTTAATCCTAAAATAAGATTCGTTTAGATGTTTTACTTTAATTGGAACTTAATATATTGTTGGCTTTTTGAAGTATAAGATATTGCATTATTAAATAAATATAAAGGTAAAATATTTTCAATGTCAAATTTTTCTAAACCACGTGAAATCAGAAATTCATGATATGGAAATACCTTTCCCAGCCAGCTTTCACTTTATTGTTAATGCCACAATGATCATTTTCATTTCAATATTTTCCAAATGCAAGTTTCAGGTACACTTTAAAGAAGAACCTTTTCAGATTACCTTCTTTTATTATATCAACGAAGTTAAAAAAAAAATTTAAAAAAAAATCTATTGATAATAGTAAAGGATAAGTAAGAATCTATGAATTTCGTCATTGTTATAATGATTAATTTTACGCGTTGCATATTGATATTAATAAAAGTTTGCTATTGTCTTAAAGAAAATAAAATCACATTATAAAAATATATTGTGTTTATAACTTTGTTTAAGCTTATATTATGTCGTATCTATCAAAACTTTTTTATAAACTTTTAAAGATATTCGCTATAGAATACGAAACTACTTCTTCTTTCTCTAAGTTCTCATTGAAGTTTCTTGTTGGATATATGTTTGGCAGATCCTACTATTCTAACTAAAAAGATAAAAAATGATAGATCAACAGAAATTACAAAACTATTAACGGAGTAAAGACTCATATTGCTTAATTTTCTATTTATACATTTCATTACAAAATTTGGTCTATTTTATTCTGATTCTTATAGAATATGTAATTTAAAATGAGTTAGAAAAAATACCACCAATAAGGCATCATGAGGTAGGTAGCATATAGAGAATTCGCTTATCAATTTAATAAGCATTAATAAAAAAAACAGTCAGATGTTTTGTTTATACCGAAAGGTCTGCCTAATCCTACTTAATATCTAAGTGAACCTGGGTTATTTCTATACTTGAACTTTAGTGAATAAAAATAATATTGATCTAATCATATGTATTTGTAGGACCAACTATTATTTGTGAGACTTCTAATACCTAAAGTCTTCAAAGTATAATATTTATTTGGGATAAGGGATTTGGGAACATAAACATTTGGGATATATAGATTCAGGAATATGAGGTATGTCAGAATTTGGGAAATTGAAAGTTTGGGATGTCAGAATTCAGAAAATTAGATGCTCGGGTAAATGGATGTTTTATTGTAATTCAGGAAATTGGGTTTCGGAAAATTGGATATTTTGGTAAAATGTTTAGTTTGGGAAATTGACATTCAGAAAAAGATATATTTGGAAAATTAGCATTCGGGCAATCGTGATATAACCCTTACATTATGCTATATATTTATATATTTTAATTCATTAGTTATAATTTTCCTATTATTTTGTAAAGAAATTGTAAATAAAATAAAGATATGCATTACCAATTCAAGAATTCAAGCTTCTTAGGATACCAATAGGATGTGTATTCCTTAAAGTTAAAAATCTGCAAGAGTTGTCTATTTTGTATTGTGAATAACTTCAACTAAGTCTTTGATAAAAGAAATAGAAGATTTAGATTTGATTAACAAAATGAAAGTAATTATTATCACATAAGGAATGAAAGTGAAATTTTTACGCTAATAATATATATCTTAGACTAATAGTTATTCTAATATAATTATAAGTATTAATCTCTATATGTTCTTGCTTTACATTTATCTAACTGTCAAATATAATGTTATACTATTTTGATTATTTAGCAATTTTAATTATATTTTTTTGTAATACTTTAGACTTTTTTTTTCAATAATTTTTCATTTATAGCTTTTTGCTTTGGTAATTTTATTTCAGATGCAATAAACTCAATAATGATAATAATTTCTTTATTCTTAACAAATGTAAAAGATAAACTATTTGACACAATTAAAAGAAGCAACAAAATTTCAAATAATGAAATATCATTTAATGATAATAATCGATGATAAAAGTTAGTTATTGATAATTAATTTAAAAAAAGAAACATGAAAAATTATTGAGAAGGTTAAAAGTTTTTGTCATTTAAATTTATTAACTTTCATACTGTTATTATCTATTATAATATATAAAAACTATTTAATATAAATATTAAAAAAATTAAAATCAAAATTACAAAGATATACATACTATTACCTTCTTCATTTGACATTTTATACTTTAATTTATCCTCTGATATTGGTAAAGATAAAAATTCTTTGTGCTTTTTCATTGGTATTATATTTACAAAAATTTGGACACTTTGCTAAATGACTATAATAAAGATGTGTTCAATTTAAAGTATAACATTTAGAATTAACTTGAACTACTTCTAAACTATTATATTTAGTTATATATTAATTATATATACTAAAATATTTGTAGAATTTTTAGGATTTTTATTAAAATAAAAAATAATCAAAAGTTATGTAATATTATTTAATATTAAAAAAAAATAATAAAAAGTAAATAAAGTCAAAACAAATAAAGGTTTGATAAATTGGTTAAAATAGTTTGTAAATCTCTTAAAGAAATCATAAAATTTATTTATGTAATAATCTTTACGACTAAACAATTATTTCAATATCAAATAAAAGATGAAGATTTGTAAATTTCATTAGTTAAATCTTGAGAAGTCATATAACATCACTGATTATATATACACATGATCAAAGTTATTTAAAAATTCTTATATGACCTAACCATTTTCCTGATAGTAAAGCAGACATTTATTTGTATGATTAGTCAATTTGTATGTCGATCATTTCCTAATTATTACTAAAATAATTTATTTTGATTGGTTCAATTTTATTATTAAATTTAATAATAATATTTAATAAATTTTTTATGTGTTATTTTAAATTGATTTGCAATTTAAGAATTAAATAATGGTTGCTTTAACAATCCTTTAGGAATATATCCACTTGAAGTAACTTCTAATCATAAATCAGCAAGTTCCTATGCTATTGATCTAACAATTCCAATAAAATAAATATTTCACTGGGCTTTTTTATCATTACTAATCAAGTTAAAATTGGATGATATTTACTTCCCAGGTAGAATCTAAAGTTTTGTGCTGCAAGGCTTTTTATATTTAGTGTCTGCTGTGAATCTTCAAAACTTCATTTCAAACCCCTCTACTTCGCAAATAGTGCATAGCCCAGCAAGTTTCTTTTCAGAATTTCCCTTATATATACCTTCGGAATACCTGTTAAAAACTGCGTGATTAGCAGGATTATTTTTGTTTAAACAACGTAACAGACATCTTGAAATATATCATTGTAGTTTTTTTTTATTGTTACATAAAAAGATTATACATATTATGGAGTTTAGGAAGTAACCTCAAATTGTTTGGAACAGAGAAGATGTAAAACTCTGCTGATAGAAAATTCAATGCCTTGCGATGAGAGATTGTTTCATTTAGAACCATTGTTGGTAAATCATATCTAAAAATTTGTTCTAATTGGAATAGAAATCAAATCGAAAAATAATATGAAAATTGAAAAGTACACACGTTGTTTATTTAAAATGCATAATAAATATCACGATAAAAAATTATGAATAAAAAGTTTTTAGTGCATCTTCAAAGATGAATAATTAATTCCTACTAATTCTGCGTTATTATAATTTGAGAAATTTTTGATTTCGATAGCGGAGGATATGATGGTTTTAATGTAAAAATACATGGCAGCATAATAAGGTAGGTAAAAAGGATTGTATAATTTATCTATTTTAAAAAAAATCAAAATAAAGCGATTAACATATTTTCTATAATAAAAAAAAAATTTGTAATATTTTTAAAAAAAGAATGAAGAAACGAAACTTACATAACGCATCACCGTCTTTATATTGTTCTTGTAATTTTAGGTCGTCTTGATCTACCGTCAATTTTGTATTAAGATAATATAGAATAATCACCGTAGTTATAAAAGAATAAATCGCTAAACCTAATCTATGTACATGTGATTGAGTCCATTTGTTAAATCCAACAAATTTGTTCGGGATTGTTAAAAGGTCTATCCGATCTTTTTCTTTAAAGAAATAGCACACAAGGAATAAAGGAGAATTCCATAAAGCTGTAAATAAAGCGGGATAACCTTGGCGTTTACATTCTACATATAATAAAAATGCTAAAATCGAAGTAAAAGCTAAATATAATATCGCCCCGCCAACTAAAGTCCATGATAAAATAGATGTAGCGCACACATCTAGATTTGATTGAGCATGTTCGGAATTACATCCATTAAAAAATAGGATAGTTAAAGCATCATCACTTCCAATATTATTAGCAGCTTTAGATATTATATGATACCCGAAAAGTCCAACATTACTAATGAATAACTAGTAACATTCAAATAATGAAAAAATTTTAGTTCTAATGGAAAATCCAAAATAGATATTCTTTAAAGAAATTTTTTTTTTTTTTTGTAAACCTATAACTTACCTCCCAGTATGGAACAATTCTATTTAGAATTTCTCCTTGTGGTATCACGCGTCCTATATCCGGTGATCTATATTGAAACCCTTTGATATTAGTACCAGACACTAAGGGTTTCTTAGCTGACTCATAATCTGTCATTGTGCTTGGAATATTTTCAGAGCTAGACTGTTGTTGTAGTTCATAATATGAACTGGGGTGTAAGGGCCTGCCTATACTGTTACCAATGTCTTGTGTATAAGCTCCATAGCCACTATTCGAGTTTTTAACGGGATAATTCGGTTGACGACTAATATACTTATCCATGATTGAATTTCAAATAAGAATAAAGCTGAGGAAAAAATAAATAAATAAATAAAAAAATGATTTGGATTATAAATATGTATACTGCAAATACTTGTCATTCATTTAATGACCATAAAGAGAAATCATTTTGTTTCACCGATCATTTTTAATAGCCTAATTGTGGCATTCTGTTTGGAAAAGTTTGATGGAACAATCACAAACCACAACATAATATAATAGAAAAATCTTTCCTTGGCGGATTCTGCTATAAGTATCTCGATTTGTTTTTTTTGCTTTTCGAAACAACAAATTATTTCAAATACGTTCTATACAATCATTAAAATCAACCTTTTATTTTCTTTATCAAACACATAATGTCTCCTTGTGCTTCACACGATTTAAGGATTCAAATCTCGGAAGTTGTTGCAACAAACACATTGATAGTTGCTAACCTTGATCGTGACACTTTTCTCCATGAAAATATTGCTAAACTTCAGGATCTCCTAGAACTACACGGAAAAATTTATAAATTTGTACCAATCAAGTCACTAAATCGCATTCTTGCCATTTTTTATCAACCCAATGATGCAGCAAAGGCAAAGACATATTGTGATAGACTGGAATTCTTGACTAAAAATATTCGTATATATTATGGGCAGGTGAGACTATAGACGAAAAAATTTTTTTTTTGTCAAAAAGCAACCAATAATTAATTAACTTTTGTTTTATAGCATACTCCCATATATGATGAAATCGATAATTCAAGACATCTTTGTGTGCCGGAAATAGAAAAAAATTGGCTCATATCTCCACCAGGTTCACCACCATTTGGATGGATTCCAATTAAAGAAGACCGTCCTAATTCTAATACTTTATCTCATGATTTAGCCCATGCTCTAGCACACGTCTCTTTAGACTCCGAAATCCAAGAATTTTCTTTAGACAATACAAATCAAGATAGAACTATATTGACTGTTGTCCCATGTGATTCTGATTCTCATCAGAATGATGTCAACGTTCCTCTCATTCTAATTCAGGATTGGGATGATTCAGATACCAAAGAGACAGAGAGAAATTTACAAAAAACGAAAGCACAATTATGTCCTTTGATGCAACGTCCATCTACTCCGACTCCTAGACCCCCGCTTCTTTTTTCGTAGTTATTAAATAGAATTAATGTATAATAATAATATTCACCTTGTCAAAATTTTCTTAGTAAATATAATTTCCGAGTTTGTCATATTACATTTACTAGTTTAATAATTAAAATAAATCAAAAAAGATTTCAAGTTTAATATAATATTATATTTGCGTTATATGCTAATTTCTGAATACAAAGATGTTTGTACAATATAAAATATTGATTTGAAAAAAAAAACTAAAAAATTATTAAATAAATAGTAACAAAGCGAAAAGAAAAAATTAAATAGTAAATGTTATAATAAATCCAAATCTGATCAAGAGTTGTCTTTTGACCCAGATTCATTCAATGAGTAGAATAGTGACTTAAACGAATAATTTGACATTGGACGATTCGTTGTATTAGTTGTATCTGAAGGAAGTATTCCGGATGAATAAGTATGTGTAGGAGGAGGTGGTAAACTTTGTATTCGGTCTCGTGTATTTGTCGTAGGCATATTTGCTGTGGATGATGACATGCTTGAATTTGTATCGTTAACATCAAACGTATCCCTCGCTGAAGATAAATTAGAAAGTGACGCACTCATATTACGAGATGATTTTGTTGAAGATTCAGATCCTGTACGTTTTCTCGAGTGATGGCTAGATGTTGAATTATTATTATTCTGCCAACTTTCAACATCTAACACATAAAATTTAACACCATCTGGTAATTCATATGGATTTGTACCCGGTTTCTATAAAATTGATCTTACTTTAGTGAGTTCAATTCATTATATAATTAGTCAACAATTGAACCAACCTTTACATCAACTCTATGTTCAGTTATTTCAACGACTCGCGCGACGATCCAATCTTTATTACGAATTTGACCACTAATTGTGTCGGTAGCGCGTAAAAAGTAATGAGGACAATTAATGTTAAAAGCAGCCCAAGGTTTGGCTGATGAATTTCGCGTAGGCAAAAATAGTGCGAGGTCGCCATTCTTGAAACTATCATTTTTTTTTTAAAAAAAAAATATGGTTAAAAAAAAGCCCGATTAATTTTATTGACATAATTATTAGACATAATTTTATAAATTTTATCCTTACTTTCGAAAAGCAATTTTCTCTTTCGATTCTTGATTAGCTTTAATATACTTTTCTGTTAAAGAATAATTATAGTCAAGTGAAATCGAAACTAAAAAAAAATCCATCAACATAATAAATCTATTTAACTTACCTCTATTCAATTTACTTTCTTTTTTATATTTCTTTCCAAGATCCTCTGCATCCTTAGGTGTTCGTCTAATTATATGACGAACCTCATTAAGGTTCACTTTTGTTGAAAGATTTAAGAGTGTCTCATATTTGTCCTTCGGCCATTCTATTTGTTCAGAATTATTTGTGAAAAACTTTCCCAAGTCTTCAGCAAAATAGCTATCTGATAAACGTGACTCAGACGATTTATTTTTTCCTTTTTCTTTCTCAGTTGACGTTAAATTCGATCCATTTTCATTGTTCACAGGTAAAGCTAATTCCATCGCGCTCATCAATGTTCGAATATTATTGTAATAATCCCAAAGGCAATTGCTTAATAAACGAGAAATTTCTGTTCGTTCCACCAACATTTGACGCATTTCATTTTTAGTTTCTTCCAAGGCTGCATGAGTAGCTTTAGAAGTTTCAAGAGACTATAACGATTGATCATGACAAATTTGGATTCAATATTGATAATTTTAAAGTTACGTCAAATTTTTGAAACTAACCTGTTTTGTATCACATAATTCCCGAGCCATAGAATTCGCAACATTCCCGACTTTTTGTATCATAAATATAGGATTCAAATTTGTTCCCGACTTGGTCTATATTATTATAAAACGACAAGAAACAACAATAAATTTTAAATGAATAAAGTAAAGACGTAAAAAAATAAATTACCTGATCAGAAATATCATAAGCTGTTGCGACATCCATATAAGTCACAATGGTTTCGGTAATATTCATAACTAACTTTTCATGCTAAAATGATCAAAATTCGATAAATAAAGGGAAAATTTCTCATATATTGAATGGATATTCCATGAATACCTACCTGTTCAAGAGCCTTCTTGGTTTCAGCATTTTCCCGCTCAAGTTGTTTGCCTCTTTCGCGAGACTTAATGATAGAAATTACTTTAATAAAGGTTCATTTTTATTTTCATTCAATAATTAATATGCTTCACCTTTTCAAGTAATTTATCAGTTTCTTCACGTGCTAAATTCATTTTATCAAGACTAGCTTTCCAACTCTCAATTTCATTCAGCATCTATAATGTACTAACACATGAGTATACGGAAAGAGTTATAAAGAAAGTAGTAACGTTAAAAAATTTATTACAACCTCTTGCTTGTTTAATTCGTATGTTTGAGTCATGTTATCCTTTTCCTTTTGAAGTTCTTCAATCTGCACTCAAACGTAAATTGGAGTTAAAAATTTTGAAAACGTGGATATAAAAATTACGATAAAAAAACGTATCGTACCTTTTTTCTCCAACGTTCTTTCACAGCTTCAATCTGCTCTTGCATAAGCTGTTGGGCTTCTAATTCTTCAATTCTCTCATTCAATGATAATCGGTCTTGCTCATACTACGAATTACGATATAAATAATTATTAAAATCAATATGTAAAGTTACTTTGAGCGTTACAATTAAAAGTATGAAAAAAAATTATTAGAACCTTTTGCTTATATTCTTCTAATCGAGTTTCCAGTTCATTTTTCTCTGAAAGAATGTCATTAATCTTCCTTTCTGAATCTGATTTTTCTGCATCTAACGCAATTTTGTCTTTTATGGCCAATTCCTTTTCCTCAATTAATTTATCTATTCGCTTTTCTAACTTCTCACATTTACTATCAGCATCTAATTTTTTCTCATATTCATCATTAAGTTTATTATAATCTGCTTCTAAATCTTGATAGTTTTGTTTCAAATCTTTAACAAGTGTCTCATATTTTTCTATCTTTTCAGAATGAATATTATCAGGTTCTTTATTAGTCTTTTCTAATTCCGCAACTTTTGCTATTAATTCATTACATCGCACCGTTGATGAATCATGAGAGTTTTGTAACTTCTTAACCTTGGCTTGCAAATCCAATAACTCGTTTTCTTTCTCTTTCATTACAATAGCATGTGAACTTTCAAGTGCTTCTGATTGTTTTTGAAGCTCATCAACTTTATTCTCCAAAGAAGTTTTTATTTTAACAGCATCCACATAGGAAGTTTCCATATTTTGATAACGCGTTTCAAGATCTGTAGTGCGCTCTTCAACCGCCTCTCTTTCTTTTACAACCTTGGTGTGTGATGCTTCATATTTTTGACAACGTGTTTCGAGTTCATTAATTTTTTTAAGTAATGTCTCTCTATCATTAGTAGCTATATTATAAGATGACTCCAAATTCTTATAACGTATTTCTAATTCTTTTGCTTTTTTTTCTTGATTCATCTTTTCATTAACTTCAGTAGTGTACGAGGATTCTAGAGTTTTATAACGCGAACGTAGATCAGAAATTTCTTCCGATACAACAGTTGAAGGCATTGAGGCATTATCTGATCCAGCTGTAGAGGAAAGAATTGATGAATTCCTGGCTGCTTGATAATTAGTGTATAATGTATTCTCGAGACTTTTGATACGAGCTTCATATGCCTAATAAGTTAAATAATTAATATCGGTAAAATAAATTATTTATTTGAGTAATGAATATTAAATTGAAATGTTTAAAACCTTTAATTTCTCTTCAGCCTTTTCTAATAGTTTCGTTTTCTCAACATAAAGGTCCATATTAGCATCCATTGATGGGGAACTACCTTCAGAGAAACTTTGTCGCGAAGACCGTTTAGAACGACGTCCTGGTTGGATTGGTGCTTGAGGAGTTAATGAACGACCTAAAGAAATTTTATTGTTAATACATATACGTGAATCTTACCATACATGGATAATAATATTACCTTCAATTAATGAAATTGGGCGCGATATTATGTTGCTATTTTTGTCATTAGCATTTTTTTCAGAGAGAACTATAACAAAGGTTACCAAAAGGAATAAGTTACATATTAAAAGATACGTTAAATATTAAACATATTCAACTACTTACAACTTTTCTCTATAACACGATCGAATTCATGATTCATTCCTTCCAGTTGGCTAGCAAATCTCAATAATATCGTATGTAAATTTGCTAAAGGGTCATCGTTAGGAGATTGTATTCGTATCTTGGACAATGAAGCAGTAAAGGTCGAGGAGCGATGATAAGAAGCTTGCGACATTATAGCTGGACGAATTTCTTCTATAAAATTTAAAAAAGCTATTTACAAAAGAATTATTAATTACAAATATATAAACTTAAATATCTAAAAACGAAAGGATAATTAATAAATGAATTACAATGCACGTCTCTCGTTGTAAAGGATGGTAATTTATCCTCTTTGATATTGGCTGTTGATATGTCACACATAGGAGGATTATCATCTAATGCTATAAATTTGTCAAACAAAAAAATCAGTAACAATACAAGTCACATGGATAAAATTTAAATTAATCTATACCTTGAATGTTAACTGGAACATATTTCTTCACTTCCGTTCTATAATAATCGCGTCTTTTCTGCTCCGTATTACGAAAATGACCCATTATCTCAGCCATTTGTTGTGCCTTTGAGAGTATAAGCTAAAAAATAATGATAAATCATGTATGAATAATTAGGATATGGATAGTAAATGATAATAAGGTATGATATGTTGGTACAAACTTTTGCGTATTCTTTCCTTCTCACAATTTCAACAATAGTCATTGCCTAAATTACAAAAGCTTCCATGTTAATGAATTTACTATATAAATTTAAAACAATAAAAATAATATTTACATAAGCTATTGGCATTTGATGAACATAATTTAAATCTTTAAAATCTTGCGCTTTAGATCGAACATCAGTATCCAATCCGCTTAATAAACTGGGAATACCAGCAATGGAAGATTCAAGGCGTGATATTTCTTGTAAATTGGATATCAATGTCGACGTCATTGTATTCTAAAAACATATATTATATATTTTAATTACAAATTAGAAATTAAATATAAAAAAAAATTTTTTTTAATGATTAAAAAAAATACCTTGCATTGAACAAAGAATATCACTTTCTCACGAATAAATTGATCGAATTTTTGCATATCTGGAAGATAATACACGCGTATAAGATAAACTTTAACCCAGATAACATTGTATTGTGATATTTATAATGTTTACCTGGTAAATACTCTTGTGATTGAAAGTTAGCAAGATGCTCAAAAGCTTCAATGGATTTTGTTGCTGCTGTAGAAGACGCGCTGGTATTTGACTCAAGAATTTTTGATACTTGACTTTGCACGCGAGTGGCATCTTTAAAAGATTTGATGAAAAAAACATGTTTTAATGTTCGATATACAATATATTCTTTTAACAAATATGATCATTTTCTTATATACCTCTTTCCAACTTTTCAGCAATTTGTTTTAACTTATAATGTGAATCCTGAATATTACTGAATGTAGCTTCCATTTTAGGAAACCTGAGATGCAAATTATCTAATTAAATTCCGTAACGTTATTTCTAAGAATAAAGCAAATAATACATACAAGCTATCAAATCTTTTCTTTTTTAACGTCTCTGTACCAGATTGAACAGAATGAATAGAAGAAGTCAACGACTGAACGCGTTTAGCAATTTGATCTAACGACGAAAATAATGTCAAGTTAATTTAGTAATAAGTACACAAAAATATTCATTATATTTACCATAAATTTGATTTCCCTCATTCGCCAAAGTTATAAGCTTGTCCTCCGTGACATAATCGGCCAACGTATAAGAATTTTTGTCACTCGTTATCATACCTCCATATTTTAATATATCAGGATGAATGGTAATACGTCGAAGCGTCTCAAGATCAACCGATAAACTAAATAATTTAAGATTATAAGAATTTATTAAGAAATAAATAAAAAGTTACACGTTATAATACAAAAATTTATAATAAAGACTTTTGAATCAGCCTTGTATGTTTGATTATTTCTTTTTCAGCAAACGTGTAAAAAACTTCATGGGCATCGATTACAGAACTAAAAATGTAGGCAATCAACGAAGATTGAAAATTTTTAGTAAGTTTTAAATATCTGGATCCGAAGCAATAAGCGTTTACAAACCGGCTGTGTGCATCAAGATTTGTGAGGGCAGCTCTCAATGCCATTAATTGAACCTTCTGTTCTTGATATAATTGTTCGCAAAACTCCGTATGTATGGTAGCCGCTTTGATGAATGACTTTTAAATTTTTAAAAAATTATGAAATGAATTCAAATTTATATTCAAACCATAAACTTTCAATTCTCATAATAATATTTTTTGATAATGATGCTCACCTGCCCTTGAGAGTGATAAGTTTGAAATAAATTGACATAAGCGCCACATTCATCAGATAGATTTATGTTACTCGAAGGGCCACGTTTTTGCACCTTTAATGCCGTAGAAGCTGCATTTTGATTATTATAATTGAATAGAACTTCAATATATGGAAATTTAATATAATATAAGTATTTATATATTTATTAATATTACCAGTTATAGGAGGTTCAACTGAAGGTTTTTCAGCAAGTGACTCTTTGATATTTGTATTATTTGCATCAAGAAGTTCCCTATTGAAAAGAAATATGTAATCATCCTTATATGTTTAAATCGAATTTTATTAATAAAAAATTATAATTTAATCAATAAATCAAAAAAAAAGGGAGAAAAATAATTTCAAGTATAGAATTTGATCTTCACCTTTCCAACAGCATTATTCACATCGCTCATCATTTGACCTTTGAGTTGTGTACCAAAGTTCGTCATCAATATCTGTGAAGATACTGGTACACCACTCACTTGCTCTAACTCTGTCTTAAGACCATCTAAACTAAATATTATATGATTATTAAAACCAGGTCAACAGAATAATAAATAACGAAAAAATAATTTAGTATGAAACAAATAGTTTTTATTATTCCCAAGCATAGAAAAGTAAAGTTTTTGCCGTCTGTATAATATATTCTCCTAAGAAACAATATTACAAGCAAGAAAAAATATATATACCTTTCAAAAGACTTTCTTAATCGGATTTGCTTGCCGGTTTCCGCCCGATAAAATTTCATAACGAATATTTAAAATATTTTAAGCATTTAAACTTTTATTTTAAGCTCGAGAGAAATGAAAAATCAAAAATATAAATCAGGCAACAATAGCATAATGAGGTGCATATAACTTCATAATGATATCACATTTTGGTGATATGGTGATTACTATGAAGATTATGTCATGCCCTCGCGAAAATTTCAAATCAAATTAAAAGCCAAATTCTGAAAAAGCTCCACAAATTTTGATCATAAATACATATTAAAATTTAAACAATCTAAATAAGTATAAGAACGTGAGCGATGGACAAAGCGTCAAATGACGACGCAAACGTTAGAGAATACAATTCTCTATTTGAACGACTAAAAGAAATCGAACGACTAACTGATCTAATTGAATCTTTCTGGATCACTTAAACACAGAATTTATTCACGCTAATTGAAGATAATGTTTTAAAATCTAAACTTATTTTAAAAAAACATTTTTTTTTGTAATTTCCTCCCTTTTTACTGATAATTTCTTATTAAGTAATGGTCATGGTTACAAGTGATACAGATCACACTTAACGTTGTATAAAAAAATTTGAATTCATCATATGCACTGATCTGCTTTAGACCCTGTAACAACCAGCGATTTTTGATCACGTTTATCATTATTTATTCTTGATTTAAAGACCGAGTTATTTTAACATGTTAAATAATAAGATATCCCGTAATCCCAATAGCTTATTATGATTGGTGACTCTTAAGGATGCGACAACTTTTTTAAAGAAATCCTTTCCCTTATCGCACAAATTATTCTCCATTTCTATATAATTGTTTTATACAGGATAATAAATCACGTTATGGTGCTCATGCAAGTTCAAAACGGGTTTTTTAAAAATCATTTCCTAATTAGCTTCACATTTTAAATTCACGTTACACGAGATGAGATGTTCATTGAAATGATTTATGCATTGTAAATCTATATAATTAAATCGCATCTTACGATTAGAATATTTTTATATAAAATTTTCATTCAATTTTTCATGTCTTTTAGACGAACATTATCTTTATTTAATCCCTTTACCACCATACGGTACGAGAGTAGACCCGCGTTATGTCATACCCTTTCTTTTGCGTATTCAAAAAAGCATTTTATCAATTTTCGTTCTTATTCAAGTACAACGAATTTACCCAATAAAGTAAAATTATTATTAAGTGAAATTGAAAGCACGATAGGTAAATTATTTGTTAGCTTTGTTTATCCTTTGCCTATATTGACGAGTTTCTTTAAAAACTTTATCAGCGACCGGAGGGGTCTCTAAAGGAATTAAACAAGTTGTCGGATCTACATATGGGTATATAATATGGTTATTCATCAGTGTTAATAAAGAACTTGTAAATTTTATTATATACGTAATTTTAGAGGAAATTATCGATTAAAATGGACAGAAACTCCTCGCTCCGTCTTGGTCGTGAAAAAGCCATTCACTGAATCCACTAGCGAAGCTTTCGTGGAAATTTTAAGGTACGTTTGAAAGTTCTTTTTCTTTTATACATTGTTTATACCAAAATTATCTTATTCAGTAATAAATCTTTTTGTTAGTTGGTTACGTGAATCTCATCCTGATATAAATATCATTGTTGAACCCGAAGTAATTAAAGAATTTGGAAAAGAATTATCGTATGTGAATGTGATTCCACAAGGTAATTAATTGAAAAAAAAAATTTTATTATTTATGATTGATGTTTAATTAAATTTTATATTCCGAAATCTTTTAGGACAACAAGATGAATATGCACGTACTGTCGATTTTGTTATAACATTGGGTGGAGATGGAACAATTCTTCACGTTTCATCGATTTTTAATAAATGCGTTCCACCAGTCATTTCATTCTCGATGGGAACATTTGGATTTTTACTTCCATTTCGTATCCTTAATAAATTCATAATTAAAACTTTTTTAGTTATTGGATGGGTAAATTATATCGGTCTTTGACCGATGTAACATTCATATATTCATAATTTTATAGTTTAAATTCAACTTACAACATTCATCTTGACTCTGGTATATAGATATAAAACATTACAAAACTGCATTAGAAGATATGATTAAAGGTGGTGTCTCATTATTGCTTCGAATGAGACTTTCTTGTTCAATATGGACTGCAGAAGGGCAAAGGATAACGAAGAATGGCATTGAGATCGGTAAATATACTGTCACATAAATGTATTTATTCTTAATAAGTGGTGATGGTTTTAAATCTAATGCGAGATATATATTTATTTATTTATCAGATGATTTGCAAGCCATGAATGAAGTAAATTTGCATCGGGGTCGTTATCCACATCTCACCGCCATCGATTGTTTTGTGGATGGACAATTTCTAACGGATGCTGTGGTAAATTCCATAAAAAAAAAATAAATTTAGATTTAAGAAAACTTCATTAATTTACCAATGCCTGATTGTGTTTTGTCCTAGGCGGATGGGTTAATTGTTGGCACACCTACAGGTTCAACAGCGTACTCATTATCTGCCGGTATTGTTCTTAATAAATTCAACACTAATAAGGAGAATGTATTTTGATTGATAATACTAAAGACTATATATAATTAAAAGTAATGAATTTATTGGACTATATATATTAATATAGGAGGACCGATAATACATCCTTCTGTTCAGAGTCTTATTATCACTCCTATTTGTCCAAGATCACTTTCATTTCGACCCGTTTTACTTCCATCAGGTGTAAGGATTCAATTAAGGGTAATTTAAAAACGTATATGATTTGTATAAAATTTTAAATTTTTTTGTCTTTGTTAACACTTTTTTTCTTTTAGATCGGCGAAGAAAGTCGTGCGCCAGCTGAAGTTACTGTAGATGGAAGGGAAATATTTATGTTGAATAAAGGAGAATACTTGGAGGTAAAAATATTTTCACCCAGGTAGCATTAATTTGTTTCAAAATCTTGAGCTATTTAAATTAATTAAATATTTTATAGGTACAAATGTCACCTTACCCAATCCCTTGTGTAAACAGAATTGATGAAGGCGTTGATTGGGTTAAAGATATTAATGATTTATTGAAATGGAACCAAAATTTTGTAAATAAGCAATTACTTGTACATGGATTCTCATAGTTTATTTAATATAACTTAAAATAAAGTAATATCTAGAAGAAATACCATTGTTATCAATAGCCACGTACTTATTTTAACTTAATGACGATTAAATTAATGATGAAAATTGAGATCTCCGCAATGCTCAGCTGAAAGGAAATTCTGCAAATTACGAATTATCATAAACACAATTACTGCAAATGCATGATGTTGAGAAGTCATGTCTGTCTTTATTAATTGCATAAAGATTGTAGAACAATTTTTTTCTTTTTCTAAAAAAATAAAAATAAAATAAAAATAAAAATGTGGATATAACAAAAATTATAATTCTATTCTACCATACCACTAGTTTATGTAGGTTTGCTAACCTAATAAATCTATTTTACGTGAAATGAATTATTAAATAATAAACCAAAATTTTTGATTTTGTTTTTAAACATCTTTAGCTTTTATTTCTAATAAATAAATATTTAAATGAAGCTTTAAAATTGTTTTGTAAATTTTACTACTGTTCTATACTTAAAAATTAAAAAAATTAACACCGATTTTGCCGATTTTTGATTTTCAAAACTGGAATCGAAAATTAAAAAATCGACTTTTACCGATTCGATTTTCGATTTTGATTTTTTGTAACGATTCCAATCCCTAATCTATCATTAATTTGCGAGTCTCGAAATCGTTTTCTTGTAAATGCTCACTGAAAAAAAAAATATATATACCTTATTTGTGTAAATCTCGTTCAGAACTTCAACAATTCTTTCGTCAACGCTTCTTTCAAACTGCGGTACGTCGGTTTCGACTCGGAGAAAATAACACAACGGCTTTGTGATCGGATTAAGAAAAAAAAATTGTATACGTGAAAATCGCGTTACGCGCTTTTATTAATTTGTTGCAAATAGAGATGTTAACGGTTCGATCTGGTCCGGTTCGGTCTGGTTTCATGTGGTCCAAGGTCGGTAGATAGTAATGCAGATCCTTTGGTGGAAATCTTGTGAAAAGGATTATCCGGTATTATCAATGATTGCTAAGGATTATTTAACAATCCAAACAACATTGGTTCCTTCAGAAAAGGCCTTTTCAATTTCAGGTTTAACTATTTCAAGAACTAGAAATAGATTAGATCCTGAAACAGCAAGAGCCATAATTTGTTTTATAATAATAATAATAATTGTAAAAGGTAATTTTTTTTTTTTCGATTTAATAAATAAAGTTTTATAAATTTTTTCGGTTTAAATTTCAGTTACAGACCGGTTCATAAAATTATTGAACTCGCCACGGTCTGGTTTTACCGGTGGTCAAATATCTATTTAATTCATCACATAACACTACTTGATGAATATTATTTGGATGAAACAAATTGAGAAAATAATCTCTAGAAGTTAATTTAGCTTTGGGTATTACTTGATCATTATTTAAGGGTAAGTATGTTGTATCTAATTCTTGTAAATTATTAATAATTTCAGATAAATTATCCTCAAATAATGTGATTTTGTTACGAGGATCTAATATCAAAGAAATTATAGAAGATTGATTTAAATGTTTATCCCAATATTTTTTTAATTTGTTATAAATTGCTGACGTGATTTCCTTTTGTGTATGATGGTTTCCTCTTTGATAATATTTCAATTTTTTAAACATTCCTATAAAACTAATCTTATATCACCTTGTGTAAGATTTGTTGATGATGATAATAAATTAGTTGTCTCATACATCTAGGTTAGGTTATAAGATTATTGATAATTCCTAAAAAAAAAAAACTATGAAATTATAATTATTATAAAATAAAATATACCTTAATATGATATCATTCAGAAATTACTGGAAATAAACTATCAAGTTCATCAAAATTCATTGTTGTAAGCATTTCTGAAACATCTTGCATTAAAATTTGTCGAGATATTATTAAATATGTAGAATTTCAACTGGTATCTATATCTTAAATTGGTTTTAGAAATTTAATTTTTTTAAGAGTACAAATTTCTGATAATTTATCCAATAGCAACAGTAAATTTTTTACTTTAATAACAAATTGGCAAAGCTTTTTAATTTCATTTCTAATAAATTTCCTGCTTGTACTCCTAAATTAATAATATGATTAGCATATTGATAATGATTAAAGTTCATATTATTAAATTCTTGATCTAATTCAAATACTAGTTGATTATCACATGCTATTATATTACCTCCATTATTTATTGTTAATATAAGTACATTATTACTAATTTTGAATTCTTTAAGAATTTGTCAAAAGTTACAAGTGATTAATTCAGTAGTACAAGATCCTTTTATAGGAATTATGTCAAGCAAAATTTTTTCAATTTCCAATTAGGATTGATATAATGCATTATTATTCTAAGATAACAATCCTTTAAAATATCTGAAATTCATATATTTGTTGTAAGAGATAGGGTTCCTCAAAATCAAATCAAATCAAATATTTAAGCAATTTGAATTTGATTTGATTTTTTCAAATCGAATCGAATCGAATCGAATTGAACTC